AATGATCCTCTGAGGATGTGAGACAGCAGGATGTCGGGCAGAGATCCTTGGATTTATGGTCTCCAGTCTGGGATTCAGAAGTCCAGGCTGTGTGATCTGTTATCTAACACAAGCCATGCCAACCTCTCTTTGCCTATGACCCCATACTCTAAAAGGGGGGAGGGGTGATAATATTTGCCTGGAGGAATCAAGTGAAATAGTGAAGATGAAATGCTATGTAAACCTGTCCTCAAATAAGGCCTGATTGTACATGATGGTAGAGGCTGACATGATGAAAGAGGTCCTGCCTTGAAGACAAGGAGGTGGCACAGGCTGAGCTGGGCAGGTAGGAGTGGATGACCTGGGAGGATGCAGAGGGCACCATTTCCTTAAAAAGCACTTTATAAATACTGTCTCATTGAATCTTCACAACAGCCTTGTGGAGGAAATACTATTAGTGTTTTATTTATTATCCGTTTCACAAATAAAGAAACTGAGCGTGGAAAATAGGATTTGCCCAGGATTATACAGCTAGTAAGTGTATGAGGTAGGATTTGAACTCAGCTCTTACTGACTAAATCCAGTGCTCAGCCCACCATGCCATCTAGTGGCCTCTCCCTAGTCAAAGGTGTTTATTCAAGCCAAGTTGTAAGACCTGTTTCTATACTTTTTAAAAAGAAGGAATTGACTTGTCTTCAATTCTGTTTGGCTTGATTCAACAAAAGGAAGGGGGAAACACGGTAGTTGTATTTGAGTATTTGAAGGACTGTCATGAAGAAGAGGGATGAACTTTGTTGGAAGCACTGGACAGATGCTTCAGGAAGGCTAATGGCCACACACACACACACACACACACACACACACACACACACCCCACTCCATCTATGCGTTTTTGCACTGGTCGTCCCTCACATCCGCAATGCCATCCGTCCTCATATCTGTCTCTTTGATTGAAGACTATGTTTGAACCTCACCTTCTGCAGGAGGCCTTTCCCAGTCCCCTCCCCCACCCCCAGCTACTAGGAGCCTCCTTCTGAGATGGCCTTCCATCTAGTCTGTATGCATCTTATATGGCCCTCGTTGCCGATGGGTTTCCTCCCCTGCGTGAATGTGAACCTCTCGTGAGCAGGGACCATTCATTTCTTCAGTCCTTCATTTCTTTGCACCCTAGGCATCAGTACCTGTCATACAGCAAGCACTCAGTATCAGGATAGGGACTGCACCTAGGATGTCATCAGTCTGAGGAATCCCCAGATGTGGGAACCTCCTCCACCAATGCTAGGCCTCATACTCTGGGCAATTTCTAGTCCCGGAGTCTCCTGGCCCACTGAGAACTGAAGGACCTCGCCCAGGATCACAAAGCCAGACTTGAACCCAGGGTCTGACTGGCTCTGAGGATCTCTCTCTCTCTCTCTCTCCACTAGAGGGCAGCTGCCTCTCATGGCACTCGGGAAGGACTTCGGGAGTGCTTTGACCGGCTGGCTCCGTAAAGACTTTCTAATATTGGCAGCTGTCATCACCAGGAAGCTTTTGGTGACACCCAAACTAAGTCTGCCTTCCTAAAACTTCCACATGGCTCGTAGGGGAGTGGGCAGCCTCAGGAGGTGGTGAACACCCCCAATGCAAGTCTTGAAGTGAAGCCCGGACATTCTCTTGTCGAATTATAAGGTTGTGATTGAGTCACAAGAATATAGGATCCCGGGCCTCAAGCTGGAAGGGACCTACAGGTCACTAGTCCAACCCTCTCCTTTTATAGGGGAGGTAGCTAAGTGCCTTGCCCAAGGTCCCAGGGATCAGCCTGGGTTGCACTAGCTGGGCATGGAGGGCTCTTCCCATGGAGACTGTGTAATAAGGGCTGAGGGTCTGAAACGTCAGCTTCCTTACCTGGACAGCCCGAGGGCGTTCCTTCCATGCCCTGTTCCTGGGCCCAGTGGGGGCCACCAGGGGCCACCAGGGGCTATTTTTAAAGCTCTCTGCATAGAAGCCAGCCTGTTCAAGGACCAGCTTCCCTCTGGCCCTCAACGTGGGTATTTCAGGAGCTGTAGATAAATCATGCCGGGAAAGCTAAACTTAGTACAGAAACCTGCAGGGAATGGGCACCATCCTGGGGCTTTCCTTCAGCGTCCTCCCCCCCACTTCAAAATAGCCCATGACAGAAGAGACCAGGCAGGCCCAGAAGAAACCCCACCCAATGCGCCACTCCCCAGCCAGACTCCAATCAGATTCAGAGAGGTTCTTGCCAGAGTTTTCCGAAATCAGTCTAATTACCAACCTAATCAGCCTCCAGAAAAAATGAAAAGATGACAAAAAGACTCTGAGAGCTCAAGCCCCCTAAGAGCAGGGAAATGTTATTAGCATGAGCAGAACAGCCCTGGAATTTTAAAACAGGAAGGCAGGAGGAGCCCATGGTGGGGATGGGCTGGACGGCTTGAGTTTGGGGACTTGAAAGAAGGCTGCCCAGTTAGCTTTTCACAGACATGTCCTGCAGCCCACTTTCATTGACATCCTTTATTGTGGAGTAGGGGTGACCTTAGTTTCTCAAAAACTACCCCAGAGGAGTCAGGAAGCACTCCGTTCAAACCTCACCTCTGATACATCTTACAAACATTGTGTGACATTGAACAAGTCACTCACTTTTCTAGGGCTCAGTCTCCTCATCCATTAAATGGGGTAATAGAGACATCCACCTTTCTGGTTGGTTGTGAGGCTCGTTTGAGATCATTTGTGTAAGTGATTTAGAAGTCACCGATTCTTATGACTGTTATTTCATCTTTTTGGATGGAGTTCGGACTGGAGCAGCCCACTGCCAAAATTCTACTTTGACCACCCCTAGTCCAGTCTCTTGTAAGCAGACCCCAATAAAGTTGACCCATCCTTGGACATTCTCTGTTTTGAATCAGAATCCACTCTATACCTGTTTTCCTCTCCAAGTATAAATCTTTCCTGAGCAAATTTCATAATGGACAGAACCAGAACAAGGAAGGGCTCTCCCAGGTGCCTGTGTCCAAGGGGGCACTCTTCCTTTCCCCACCCCCTGCCCAGCTGGCCTACTCCTTCACCTGGTTGCCATCTCCAGGGTCCCGTCCCCATCACACCCTTCTCCTGAGATCTTCCATCCAACAGGAGCAGACGGCACCCCACGGGCTGCCTCAGATGGGACTTTATGTCATGCAAGAATCCTCAGGATCTAGGTGTATCAGCATCAAAGGCTTACAGTTGTCTCTGCCTCTGTGCCCAGAGTAAATTTGACCCTAGGCCTCCCTGACTCCTCTCCATTGCGCTTTCCAGAACCTAGCTCTGCTGTTACCAAACTCCTCCTGCTCCTAGGTCTCCTCCCCTCAGATTTCTTCCATGTTCTGGTGCTCACTCACTTCCTCCTAAAGCTGTCCCACCTCTTGGCCATCTTGCCAAGACTGGCTGTGCCTCCTTTTCTATCCCCTCCCACACAGGGCCAGGAGGGGGAGCTGGCAGACTCCTCACTCCCCACTACTCCTATCTGACCCTCCCTCTGCTCCTATCACCAAGCAACCACCACTAGAGTTCATCCCATCCCTAAACATTCTTGCTGATGTCATCCGTGGGTGCTCAGGCCCCTCTTTTTGCTATTGTTCAGTCATGTCTAACTCTTTGTGATCCCATGCACCATGCTGTCCCGGGGGATTTCTTGGAAAAAACACTGGAGTGGTTTGCCATTTCCTTCTCTAGTGGATTAAGGCAAACAGGGTGAAGTGACTTGCCCAGAGTCACACAGCTAGGAAGTGTCTGAGACCAGATTTGAGCCCAGGTCTTCCTGACTCCAGGCCCAGTGCTCTATCCACTGCAGTGCCACCTCGCTGCCTCAAGTCACTTTTCCCCCTCCCCAATATATACAGTTCTTGGCTCATTATCTTTTTCAGAGGCACAGTAGATAAAGTGCTGGGCCTGGAGTCAGAAAGAGCTGAGTTTGAATCCAGCCTCAAATACTTACTAGCTGTGTGACCCTGGCAAGGGCCTCAGGTTTCCTATTTATAAAGTGGGGTAATAACAGCACCTTCTTCCCAGGGTTGTTGTGAGAATCCAATGAAATAGCACAGGTGATGTGCTTTGCCAACCTTAAAGCATTATGCAAAAGCTAGTTATTATAATTTTTCCCAATCCAGGGCCTTTCAAATGCCTCAGATCCCCAACCTCCTCAATTCCTGTGATCTCTGTCTCCCGTCCACCTTAACACTGCACAAGATGGCGGTAACTTGGATGCCTCGTCACCGAGTTCCACTGAGCTGGCCTCTGGGGCCAGAATTCCTACTTAAAGCCCTGATCATGGAAGATTATTTTTTCCAATAAAAAAAATTACTGTTGTAGCATGATTTACATTTCCTAAGTATTTTGGTCAGGAAGTAACATGACAGCAGACAGAGGGACAACTTCAGCTTTGGGAAGACCTGGATTCAGGTCCTGCCTATGAATTATCCAACTTATGTGAACCTAGACAAGTCATTTAACATCACTGGGCAGCAGGCAACTCTTAAAGACTAGAGGTTCCCAATGAGTCAATGACCTGCATTTGGTGGAGGGAGTTTCCACATTGGGAGTTCTTAAAAAAATAGATGAAAGCTCTGGACCCCCACAAAAAAAAGTAAGCAAAGAAGCATATAATATTATCCTTTCTCAAATTTCAAATCCATTTGGTCTAAAAGGCTTCTATACTAGGAAGAGGAATATTGGTATTTAGATTTGTCTGCTGAATAACTGAGCTTGCCAGGTTTGTGGAGTGTTTTAATTAATCAATAGATATAGCTGTGTCTAGAATAAACATGACACATGTCATCTGGAGGTCCTGGCTAACTGTTCCTGCATCTAGAAATTCACATGACCCCAATCCTATCAGGCCAGCATTCTCCTCCGAGCCCGCAGGAGTTATAAATACCCCCTTGATCAGCCCTGGCCAGACTACAATGAAGAGATGACAATAGAAATCACTGCCCCTGTATAAGGTCATCTTTCCCCTCCCGGGGAGGAGGGCTTCTGCTCAAATAAACAGCATGGCCACAGACAGGCTGCCAAAGCCAGGGAGGGCAAAGCTGCAAATCTTTCAGAAGATGGAGAGAGACCCCCCTCCAAGTCCTGCTCCTGCGGAACAGTACCACACAGCCTTGGTCACAGGCGACCTGGGCAGCCTCCAGCCACTGATGGCCCAACACTATGGAGATGCCAATGTGGTCTTTGAGATCAATAAGAATGAAATGGAATGGCAGCTGAAATCTCCAGCCACTTTTGGACTATCAGGTAACTTGCTTACTGGCAAAGACCTGTCTTTAAATTGCTATGGGCCACTAAGGCTGCATATATCTATACATAGATACAGCTCATATGTACGGAGAGAGATTTTATAGTATTAGTAACTCCAAATGGTAACGAGATAGAGAAACATATTAGATGGGGAGCAGCTTCAGAGTGGGCATTGTATTCTACCTTGTTTTGTATACCCAGTGCTTAGCACAATCACTGGCACATAGTAGGTGCTTCCTAAATGATTGACTGATTGAGGCAGCCGAATAGTCCAGCGAATAAAGTACTAACTGAATCCTGCCTCAGACACTCACTACCTGGTGATTCTAGGCAATACTTCATCTCTCTTAGCTTCAGTTTTCTCCTCCATAAAAGGGGGTTAATAATAGCACCCACCTTCCTGGGCTGTTGTAAGGATCAAACCAGACAAAACTTGTAAAGTTATTATTATTATAAGGTCATTTTGCATATGCAAATTAGCTCTATGCATATAGGTATATATTTCCACGTAAAATTAGAGTGAGCAAGTATTTATTAAACACGTATTATGTGACAGGTGCTGTGCTATGTTGTCATACTGAGGCACTGGATTTGAAGTCAGAGAAATCTTGGGTTCTAATCCCACCTGTGACACTTAGCAGCTGTGCACATACACAGCACAGATATAGACACAGTGAAAAGAACACTGGACTTGAAAGCAACCTGGCTTCTACTCCTTCCTCTGGCACTTAATTACAGCATAATCCTGCCCAAGGTATTCTGCAGGTCTGAGACTCAGTTGTCTTATCTATGAAATAGGGAGAGTATAGCCTTGTAATGCTGTTGGGGCGGAGATGAGGCTGTAGATATGGACCCACTGAAAGAAGACAGGAGATGAGAGGGGCCATTTGGAACTGGACTTGTGTGATGAGACACAAAGCAAATGCATAGAAAAGGGACATTGGTTTGTTAAAAGGGCCTGTGTCTGAAGTGGGAATTGTCACCCCTTAAACAAATAAACAGGAGCTTTGTTTAGGGCACCCTAAGATTTAGAGCTGGATAAATCTGCCTACAGTTTCTATCTAACCAAAACACTAAGGGGGATGGGAAAAGAAAAGAATTCTCCTTTTAAGAGGCTCAGCTCCCCCAGGAATGGTCTGCATGGCTCCAGATCTATGTAATGCAAATCTGTGACTTCCCCCATTCCAGCACTGGCAGCCCCCAGATCATGACCTTTGGATGGGATATTCAGCCTCAAAGAAGAGAGATCCAGAAAGATCGATCCCTTCAGCCAGCCAGCCTACCTACCTACACACACACACACACACACACACTGCTAATCCTCTGGATGGAGCTTCTGAAAGCTAAGGGAAGAACATAAGGGCTGGGGAATAAAGAGAGAGAGAAAGGGGAAATCCTCCATTTTCTAAACTATACTGTAAATGCACTTGGTTAGCCTGATAGCTGTTTCCTCCAGGTGATGCCTTCTGTGCTTTTGCTGCAGCTATCCCCCGTGCCTGGAAAGCTCTCTCATCACCTCAGCCTTACAGAATCCCTGGCATCCTTCAAGCACCACCTCCCACATAAGGCCTTTCTTCCCCTCCCCCCAACCATTGTTGGTACCTCCTCTTTCCTGAAAGGACCTTGTACTTCTGTGCATTTTTTTCCCAACCCCAGTAGACTATAAACTCTTTGAGGACAGAAATTGTCACTGTTTGTCTTTATCTGTAGCTCCTGATATGTAACAAACACCTTGAACTCCCAGAATCATAGATTTAGAGCTTTAGACTGTAGAATTCATTCATCACTTTACAGATGTGGAAACTGAAGCCTGGAGATGTAATTTGCCCAAGGTCACACAGGTAGGAAGTGTCAGGGTCAGAATGAATTAGATTCTCCTACTCCAAATATGGCCTTCTTTCAAATACTCTATTGTATCATGTTGCCTCCTAATGAATGGTTATTGTACTGAAATGAAATGATGATAGAATGGCCACTAGGAAACTCATCACTATCTACTCTGCCTCCAAATGAAGAAACCCTAGAGACAACAGGTTCAATAACATGACCTGTTACCATAACACTGGGATAGTAAGCATCTGATTGGGAAGGCATTGGGTGGCCACATGAGGCACAAGTGGGCTGGAACTAGGTTCTGAAAACCAAACCAGATAGATTTTTGAATAGTCTATACATCAGAGACTGAGGGTTAGAATCACTTTATCAATGGCTGTTGAACTCTAGCATACAACATATACTTATTTCCAGACTTCGTTGGGCCAACTATCTCATCAATGTGAGTGCCCCCTTCACCACTGTAGATTGCAGCCCTTCACGCTTTTTCATCTTGTGTAGCTCTTGTCCAAACCCAAGTATTTAACAAAATGATCATAAAATGTCAGAGTTGGAAGGGGTCTTTGTGGCCATCTAGTCCATCCCATAGCCCAAAGGAACCCCTACTACAATATACTCTGGAGGTAGTCAGTCATTCAGCCTCTGATTGAAGACCTCCAGGGAAGAGGAATCTATTACCTCTCGAGAAAACCCATTGTACTATGAGACAGCTCTCATTGTTAATGAGTTTTTCCTGACATTAATCGTAAATTTGTCTCTTTGAAACCTCTCCCCTCTAGGACCAAGAACAAGGCTAATTCTTTCTCTGTGTGATAGTCCTTCAAATATTTGAAGGCAGTCAACAACTTTTAATAAACAGTTACTATGGGCTGGGCACTGTGCTAGGTGCCAGGGATCTAAAGAAAGACAAACACAAGGCCCCTGCCCTCAAGGTGCTTATATTCTGCTGGAGGAGACAATATGAGCAGAACTGGTTCCATAGACACTCTGTGTGGAGTAGATGAGGGAGGATGCTGGGAGCTGTGGGGACAAGGAAGTCCTCCTGCCAAAGTGGGATTGGAGCTGAGTCTTGAAGGAAGCTGGGGATACCAACGATTGTTAGGAAAGCTTTCCTGTCATTCATATTTGTCTTGGATCTAGACTCAAGGAGTCTCACAAAGGAGCTAACTCATCATTGGGCTGCTTATAGAGGTGTTAAATGGAAGAGCAGATATATGGAGGGCAAAGGCAAGTTATTCCCCCCAGATGGCCTTAAGCAGACATGGGTTCTCTTGAGGAACTCCTCCCAGGAAGGCCTGAAACCCAGGACCCAACAGCTGGCCCTGGTAATCTGCTCTACAAGGATGGAGGCTTCTGGCAGGGCCAAGAGACTGTCCCTTGGGCACTGGGGGCTGTCAGGGAGGTTGTGCCTTAAGTAGGGTCTCTAATCAAAGCACTGCAGCAGAGGCAATTTGACTCAAGTATGATCTGGCCCAGATGGTATTGACCCCATATTCTCTACCCTGGTGTCAAAAATGAGAACCAAGGTGATACAGCCAAGGGTTGGGGAAACTCTCAGGGAAACCCACAAAAGATCCCTCTGGGGTCCAACAGATCAAGCTCAGTCTCTCCCATGTGACAGTCCTTGAAATCCTTGAAGACAATATCAAGTGCTCCCTGAGACTTTTCTCCTCCCAGATAAATAATCTCAGTTCCTTCAGCTAGTCATCATACAACATGGACTCAAGGCCCTTCCCCATCATGGCCACCCTTCTCTGGGCATTCTGCAGCTTAGCGATGACCTTCCTAAATTGTGGTGCCCAGAATTGAACAACCTACCTAGATCAATCAATAAGCACGTGCCAGGCACTGAGGCGGTCTGACCAGGGCAGAGGACAGTGGAACTTTCACTTTCATTGTGGACCTTGAAATCAGAGATCTAGTGTGGGGGAGTGAGTACCTTAGAGACAATCTAATCTAACTCTGTGCCCTTTTTATAGAAAAGGGAACAGAAGCCTAGAGAGGTTAAACAATTTGCCCAAGGGCACATGGGTAATAAATAAAAGAATGCCCCTAATCTCCAAATTTCTGCACAAATCCCAGCTTTTACCCAAGACCCAAGCTCTCCATCTTCCTAAGGACCAAGGAGCTTCCCATTCAGGTATTCCCTATGCCCACCTCACTGGGTCCTGCCATGGTCACCCCACCTTTAGCACCTAACTAACCTGTCCTTTCCAGAGCTATGTATACAGTGACCTCAAGGTAGCAGGGATCCAAAGCTTATCAGGTTAGGAATCTGTCTTACACACTGGTAGGTAATTAAGGAATGGTCTTTCAAAACTTCTCAGCATGGGCTCTGGGGAAGGAGTTGGCCTGTGAAAAGGGTCCCCTTTGCAGCTCATTACAGCCATTCGATCGATTCTGCCGTCATTAGAAGCAGGCATGTCTACCTTGTGAATTCCTGCCTCTTGATGTGTATTCACCAGGGACTGGCTCCCCCCCTACTTAGACCATTGCTCGATGCAGCTAACAACCTTCGACAGGGCTTTTGAAAGCACCAAAGTTTTTCAGAAAGTAAAGTACATAGCCCCTGCTCCATTTTATTCCTTAAGAAAGAACAACCCTCCACATACACACACAAAACCCTAAAGAGCTCGAAGCAACAATCCCGAATTGTGTGGAATGTGGAGCAACATATCAAAGTTGGGTTTTTTTCCTCCAACTCAGATATTTTCAGGAGGGCTAAAGCTTGTTCTCAAGCCCTTCCGGGAGCAAACTGGCTGATGTCAGGCAGTTGTTTTGTGTTTGCTTCTCTTCCTCCTGCTGTTCAGTGGCGATAGAGGGGTAAGGGTGGGGGGCTTTGAAATTGTATTTTGATGTACGTTTCTCTAAGCCCCCTTATCTCAACTCTCACTCTAATTGGCCAGGAGCAAGGATGCCATGCTTCTGAAGGCTTCCCTGGTTTTTGTATTGTGGGTGCGTTTCTCCAGTCCCACCGAAATTACTGTGTACACATATTTTCATTTATTTATGTAGACCCACCACTGAACCTACTTCCTTCACTCGGTACTCACAGGTCGCAGTTTGAGTACCACTACCTCCAGGACTCAGGGGTACTCTGTGGGGCCATATCTGTAAAACTATTGTTCCCAGGGCCCCACCGGTAAACCTACCTTTAACAGTCAGACACTAGACACAATTAGCTCAAAGAAAAGGCATTTACTAAGACAGTCTAGTAATTGCAGTCACCACAAAACATTTGTCCCAGAACCAGGAAGACACTGTCCCACATACATGCATAGTGTCAGTGAGAAAAGTGAGCACATGCACTGGTAGTGAGGCACACGTGTTCCTGTATATGTGGCCAAGACAACTCATGCTTCTGGTGCTGCAGGGCCCTTATGCCTTTTCTCATAGAATCCTCAAGATATTCCCCTCTAGGTGCATCTCTGCTGGGCTGGTGGTTTCTCTGGGCTCCCTGGACTTGCTCTTCTCTTCAGCTTAATTCCCAAAAACTAAGATTTTTGAATCTGTAATTGGCTTTCTTCTCTGCTGCCAGGGGTCACAGACCTTTGAACTACCTCCACTGAGACACTGTCTCTCTATCTCTGTGTCTCTCTGTCTCTGTGTATGTGTCTGTCATACTGTGTTCCTTATGCTATCTGTAGTCTCTCTATCTCTGTGCCTGTATCTCTGTGTCTATTTCTGTCTCTATCTGTCTCTTTTTCTCTGTCTCTTTGTCTGTCTCTATCTCTCTCTGTCTGTGTCTGTATGTGTCTATTTCTATGTGTTCCCCTGGCAGGCTGTCTCTCTGTCTCTGGCTTTGTCTTTGTCTCTCTGTGTTTCTTTGTGTACCTGTCTCTGTCTCTATCTTTTTGCGTCTATCTGTCTGTAATAGAGAGCCACTGGGGTTGTTTGGCTAGAAGAATGGCACGGTCATTCTTCTAAATGCAAATTAATGAAATGGTCAATCTTCCAAGCCCAGGCAAGACCTGTGCTTTTAGAAGATGAATTTGACAACTGAGTGGAGAATGGGCTGGAATGGGGAGCTACTTGGGCCAGGGAAACCAACCCCCAGGCTTTGCAATAGTCCTAGCATGAAATGGTAAAGGCCTAGACCAGGACAATAGCAGCATAAGAGGAGAGAAGGAGGTGTATTCAAGAGATGTTAGAAAGGTACAAATGGACAGAGCTGTGCAACTGGTTGGATGTGAGAATGAGGGAATTAGAGAGTGAGACATTGAAGATGGAACCTAGGTTGGGTGTCGAGAAGAATGGTGGTATCCTTGACAGTAATAGGAAAGTTTGGAAGAAGGAAGGGAGTGGGGGAAAGATAATGAGCTCAGTTGTAAGCCCATTGAGTTTAAAATGTCTAGAGGACATCCAGTCCAAGATGTCCAATAAGGCCTTGGAGATGAGAGACTGGAAGTTAAGAGAGAAAATAGGATTGGATAAATAGATCTGAGAATTATCAGCAAAGAGATAATCATTGAATCCATGGGAGCTGATGAGATCATCGAGTGAAATAGGAGAAGAAAGCCCAGGACAGAGTCCTGGGAGACACCCAAGGTTAGCAGGCATGGCCTGGATGAAGATTCAGCAAAGGAGACTTAGAAGGGGCAGTCACATGTGTAGGAGGAAAACCAAGAGAGAGGAGAGTTACAAAATCCTAGAGAAAAGAGTGTCAAGGGGAGTAATCAATAGGGTCAAAGGCTGCAGAGAGATCAAGATGGATGAGGGTTGAGAAAAGGCCATCGGAATTGAGGACTAGCCCTGGCTGTGTGTGAAGGCTGTGAGAGAATCTGCAAAAGTCAACAGATAGTATTTGAACTTCCTGACTCCGAATCCCGTACTCCATCCACTGTACTGTGTAGCCGCCTCATCTATATGTCTCCCTCTAGTAGAATGTAGGTTCTTTGAAACCAGGACTGGTGGATTTTTGTCTCTTTTTTCCTAGCACTTAGTACAGTACATGACACATAAGTCATTTATTTAATCTATGGTGTGGGCTCAGACTGGATGGAATGTTGCTCATTGAGAAAGCAAGAAAACCAAAAGAAATATATATATTCAAGCAAACAAAGCCTCACATTAGCCATGTTTTTAAAAAATCCAAGTAATAAGAAAACTCAGAAAACAGAACAGTTTGGGAAGCAAGATAAGTTTGGGTCATGCTGAGGTTGAGATGTCTGTGAGATATCCAGTTCAAGATGTCCAATAGGCAGTTTGTGAGGGGAGACTGGAGGTGAGGAGAGATGAGGACTGGCTGAATGTTAGGACTTGGTGACTGATTGGAGACCATCCCTCCAGATGGAGTGTCCCGACAAGGACAGGTTACAGTAGAATCATTACCTCCAGAGTTCCAGGGAGTGTAGTAAACCTTTCAATGAAGCCAAGATCACATCCACTTCCCTGGTGGCTACATCACATTGTTGATTCAGACTGAGCCTGCATTCCTATAAAGCTCAGTCATCTTTTTTTGGACCCACTGTATCTAACCCTTCACACTCTGCCATTCTATGATATTGTTATGTTGAACCCAAGTTTAAGACTTGATAGTTATCCCTATTAAATTTTATCTCATTAGACTTGAAAAAAAATCCATAATCCAATGATTTCTTATTGCCAAATTTAATGGTCTTGTCCTACTTCTCATCCTTCTTAACCTCTCTGCAGCCTTTGACACGGTTGACCACTGTTGTTGATGTTTTCTTCTCTCTAGGTTGTTTTTTTCTTTGCTAGGCAATGGGGTTAAGTGACTGAGTGTTACGTGTCTGAGGCCAGATTTGAACTCATGTGCTCCTGAATCCAGGGCCAGTGCTCTCTCCACTGCGCCACCTAGTTGCCCCCCCTCTAAGTTTTTGTAACACTAGTCCCGCCCTCCCCCCAGTTCTCCTCCTCCATATCTGATCACTCCTTCTACATCTCCTGTGCTGGACCTTCATTCAGGTTATACCTGCTAACCTTGGGTGTCCCCCAAGATCCTGGGCCCTCTTCTCTTCCTCCATACTATTTGATGATTTCATCAGCTCCCATAGATTCAATTATAACTTCTATGCTTGTGATTCTCAAATCTATCGCTGTTGATCTCCAGTCTTGCATCTCCAAGTATTTGCTAGACATCTAGAATTTAAGTCCCTCTAATCCTGACTCATCAATTCCAAAACTGAACTCCCAAACCCTCCCCACTTCCAAATTTCATATTACTGCAGAGGGTACCACCATCCTCCCAGCCCTCAGGCCCATTGCCTCACTCATCCTGGATTCCTCATTATCTCTCATATCCACTATGGCACCAAGGCCTGTCAATTTCACCTCTGCAACCTCTCTTAAATACACTCCCTTCTCTCCTTTGATACTACCCCCAACTGGTGCAGGCCCTCATCACCTCATTTAGTAGCTGCTGGGGTCTGGGTGCAGATGTCTGCCTGCCTCGAGTCTCTCCCTCATCTGGTCGGTCTATCCTCCATTCAGTCACCAAAGTGATTTTCCTAAAGTGCAGATCAAACCATGTCACCCCCCTACTCGGTTAACTCCACTGGTTCTCTACCACCTTCAGGATCAAATACAAAGTGCTCTGCTTGGAATTCAAATCCTCCATGATCTAGTCCCTTCCCACCTCTCCAGGCTTCTTACATCTTAGTCCCCACCAGGTCATCTTTGATCCAGGGACACTGGCCTCTTGGCTGTTCCATGAACAAGGTCCTCCATCTTCTTAGCTCTGCCTCCTGACTTTCCTGGCTTCCCTGGCTTCCTTTAAGACCCAAATGAAATCCCATCTTCTCCAGGAAGTCTCTCCCAACTGCTCTTAATTCTAGCTTAATTCCCTCTAGTGATTACTTCCTACTTATCCTGTATATAGTTTGTTTGTACATGGTTTTTTGCTTATTGTCACCCCTGTTAGATTATAAGCTCCTTGAGAGCAGTAACTGGCTTTTGACTCTCTTTGTATCCCAACTCTTAGCACAGAGTGTGGCATGTGGTAGATACTTAATAAATGCTGATTGACTGACTGATTGGCTTCATGTTGTCTCTCTGATAGGGCAGAACCTCCTTGAGAGCAGGGACTATTGCATTTTTGGTTTTGGGTTTTTTTTTATATATCCAATGCCTAGAACATCTAGAGCAGAATGTACAGAGCAGAGCTCCTTGAAGTCAAGAAGCTTTGTCTTTCTCTTGCAGTGTTTTTCACAGAGCTTGACACATGACTGATCAATGATATGATTGATAAGAGCTTGGTGGTTGATGGATTGGATTGATTGATTTCTCCCCCTCTCTCCCTACCCTGCAGGTCTCTGGTCCCTGGAGTATAAGAGAGAGCTCACCAATCCTCTCTGCATCACTGCCAGTCATGGCCACACTGACTGCGTGCGCCACCTGCTACGCTGGGATGCTGATGTTAATGCAGCCCCAGGTGGGAAGAGTGCCCTACATGAGGCCTGCCAAGGGGGTCATACCGACTGTGCAGAATTGCTCCTGGAACACCAGGCTGACCCCAACCTAATGAGTGAGGAAGGCTTGGCTCCACTCCACCTGTGTACCTCCCCAAATACTCTCGGGTAAGGAGGCAGCAGCAAGAGCCCCCATCCCCACCATACCTTCCCAACCCCACCAGAAGCCCTAGCTTCACCACTTCTGCTTGCTAAGGCTGGCTCCGTCACTCAGCCATTTAGGCTAAGTTTTGTTACCCACGAGCAAGGATCTGGCCTTAGGAGAGGCCCCCTCAACAGAGCTTCACCCCATCAGGGTCAGACTTCAGTCTAGAGGGGGTGATCTTCTCATGCCAGACAAATTATGACCTGCCTGAGGCTTGCTCCCCTGGCCCTGTCAATCAGCCTTCCAGGGGCCCGGCACTCACCTACCCCTGGCCAAGCAACATCCCCCCTTTGCTTCTGGCTGAGTCTAATTAGAGCTTGATTACAAGAGAGAGAGCAAGAGACGCCAAACTGAGGTAATGAGCTGCGTGATCAGAGGCCTAAATAAACCCGTGTTTGAATAATGCTAAAAGGCCACTGACAAGGGTTGGAGGCTTTAAAAATTAGGGTTTTTAATGATAATTTTATGCATCCTAATTGTCACAGTGTGAGAGAGATAGCGAGCTTCTTGGGGCTGAGGCTTCAGCCGAAACATAAGAGCCCCCCCAACGATACACAGACAAACTTTGACTTTCTGCAGAGAGAGCCCTGGGCACCAGGTCCTAGGCAACTTCTCCTTGAAGCAGGAGACTTGAAGCAACCTGGGCCCCCTCCTCCAAGCAACGTAATGCTAAGAGAAACCCTTGGAGTGGCCTCCAAGGAAACTTGGCGCTGGGCCCCACACAGGTCCGTCAACAGGGGTGAGACTCCCAGGAGCCTCGGCAAATTTGTCATTTGCATAAAACTTCACAAATTGTGTCATTTAGTCTCTAGCAATTTTCATGTTGAAATGTTATTGTCTTCAACCCTTAAGGTAATAGTTTCTTGGCCTTCCTAATCTCACCCAGAATAAACCGATCTCTCCTATATCAGTAGCAGACAAAAGAGATGAGCAAGGCATGAGGGAGCCCATCAATCAATAAGCATTACATGCCAGGCACTATGCTAGGAATATGGAGACTAAAAATGAAGCAATCCCTGCTCTCAAGGAGCTTATACTCTTATCGTGAGAGAAAGGACGTATATGTGCACATACACACAGAAATGTATATATATATATGTGTATACATATATGTTTATGAATATATACATATAGATACTATATATGTATACATATGTGTTGAGAGGAGAGAGGTGTGTGTGTGTGTGTGTGTGTGTGTGTGTGTGTGTGTGTAATTCAGAATGGGACACCAGCAGCTTGTGATCAGGAAAAGGTTTCGTGCAGAAGTTGACTCTAATCCGGGTCTTATAGGAAACAATGGTTCGTAAGCGGTGGGGTGGAAGTGGGGGGTGGGGGGTGGGGGAGTGACTTTCAGAAATGTAGGACGACCATTGCAAAGGCTGGGAATAGAACGTCCTGTGTGAGGAAGAGGAAGAAGAGCAGACTGAAGAGACCCTAGGTTACGTGGAGGGGCATCAGAGGCAATATGGCTGGAGCCAGATTTTGAAGGGCTCTCGTTGCCAGAGGAGTTCATACTTGCTCCTGGAAGTATTAGGAAGCCACCGGAGTGACATAATCATCATAGCTTGCATTTCTAAAGCACTTTAAGGTTTGCAAATCACTTTACATGTGTTGTTGCACAGCAAGCCTGGGAAGTAGATGCTATAATTATGTCCATTTTATAGATGAGGAAACTGAGGCTCAGGGTGGTGAAGTGGTTTTCTCAGGTTCACACTGGTAGTAAGTAACTGAGGCAGGATTCAAACTCTGGTCTTCCTAAGTCTAGCTACTCCACTACATTGTGTCTCTGTCAGCAGGTATAACATGGTCATAGATGTGCTTTAAGAAAAAAAAATTTTGGCAGATGGAAATTATTCATGTGCACTAGAGAGGTTGGAAGTTCCGGGAGAGCTCCCTAGCCAAGCAGATGAGTCTGTCCCAGGAGCCCCACAGCTATAATTAGAAAATCTGTCACCAAAAAATCATGCCCAGAAAGACAATAAATAGGCACTCTCAGTTGGTGTGGGAGCAGACCATGCCATGTACAGCACAATCATTGAAGTTCTTACTATGTGTCAATAAATCACTTGATTGGCAGGTGGAATCCCCAGATGGGAGTGGCTCCTTCCCCCTTCAGGGTGGTAGGGATAACCCTGAGAGGTCAGACATGATTTCTCAAGTATTGTGGCTCATGAGCCCCTACTAGTGTACCCCGGCATTATCAGTTGATATCAATGAGCCGTCCAGACTTATCAACAACAATGAATGAATGTCCTCACCAATATCGGTTTTATTCCAGAAACTCTTCCTAACTGCCTACTATCTGCCAGACACTATTCTAGTGGCTTGAAATTTAAGGATAAAAAATGAAAACAGTTCCTGCCTTCAAGGACAATTGACTTAGTAAGGGCACTTTGAAACCAACTGGTCTCATTCTTTTGTTTTTATAGCTGAGAAAACTGAGACCCAGAAAAGTCGAGTGACTTATACAAGGTCACACAGGTAGAAAATGGCAAAGGCAGTATTGAGAACCAAGTCCTCTGAATCCCAATCTAGCAGTGCTCCCATTCTACCACACTGCCTCCCAAGGAGGTACATCCTGCTAGGAGGATAACCCCTCCCCCCCAAAAAAAGCACAATGTAGGGTAAGAGATGAAAAGAACTAAAGAGAAAGCAGATAACGAGCTATAGACATAACCGAAGAGGGATAGAGCAGCAGTAAGGGAGGGAACGCAGAGGGGAATGTGGCTACTTGAGTCTTTTTTTCTCGGTATGTCTAACACTTGGCACAGTGCTTTACACATAGCAGGGGCTTAATAACTCCATGGAATCCACTGATCTCCTTACATCCACACTTAAAGGCATCCTCGCCACTGGGCCTTCAGGGTAGATGGAGTATCCCTCTTTCTGGAAAGGAGCATCTGGCCCTCCCAAGGCAGACCCTTCCACCTGGACACAGCTCAGATTTGAGGAAAGTTTTCTTGATGTCAAGTCTAGATTTGCTTCCTAGTAACTCCCACCAAAGTCAGGGCTCTTTGTTCTGCCCGCTAGGGCCAAGCAGAACACAGCTCATCCCCCTTCCACATGGTAGCCCTTCTTACAAACCGCCATCAGGACCTGACACATAGCAGCCACTTAATAATGGCTTATTGACTGACTGACAATCATGCTTCATCTCCCCTCTTCCACCACTAACCTTCTCCTCTACAAGCTAAACATCCTACGTTCTTTCAATAGATTCTCACATGACAAAAACTCAAGGCCCTTCAAGTGAATTTGTGTTCAAACCCTTTGAAAATGATAATGCTCAGGGGCAGTGAGGTGGCGCAGTGGATAGAGCTCTGGCCTTGGAGTCAGGAGGACCTGAGTTCATATCCGGTCTCAGACACATAACACTAGCTGTGTGACCATGGACAAGTCACTTAATCCCAATTGCCTCACCAAAAGGCAAAAAAAAAATGATAAAACTCAAGGCAGCTACACAACACAGTGAATAAAGCACTGACCCTGGAGTTAGGGGGACCTGAGTTCAAATCCAGCCTCAGACACTTCTTAACTATGTGACCCTGGGCAAGTCACTTAATCCGGATTGCCTCCAAAAAAAAGAAGAAAGAAAGAAAGAAAAGGATAAAACTCTTTGAAGAGTAGGAAGTATTAAGCAAACAATGGAACACAATGGATAGAGTTCTGGACTTGAATCCAGGAGTTCTGGGTATGAATCTCACCTCAGACAGTTACTAGCAATGTGACTGATCCTGGACAGATCACTTTGCCGCTTTTCAACATGACACGGATCAATCAATTCAGCTCTTAGCACAGTGCCTGGCACATAACTGGCACCTAATAGATGCTTATTGACTGACATTTCATAAGTATGGGAAGGAATAAAGACTCAGAGAGGTTAACCGACTTGCTTATGGTCACACAGCTAGGAAGTATAAGAGGCGGGATTGGAACCCAGATCTTCCTGACTCCAAGCTCAGCCTTCTATTTACTATGCCATGCCGCTTTTCATTGTCAGTAAAATGCCCAAAATAATACTTCTACCTCCTCCCTTACAGGGCTACTGTGTAGAAGAGGCTTTGTAAATCTTCATATATGTGTGTGTGTGTGTCTGTGTGTGTGTGTTTGTGTGAGTATGCATGTATGTATATGTGTATATATATATATAAATATATACATGTATACACATATGTATACTATTTTTAAAAGCACTTGATTTGTAAAGGACTTTGTATTAGCACACAATTGACAATGTCTGCTAGACTTGATGTATCACTTTATTAATTTATTATTATTTTAATAATCCATATTGCCTGAATCATCAGACTAATTCCAAAGCATAGATTGATAATAGACCAGCACAAAAAGTATATTTTTCTAATGGTATGGAGGCTAAGCATGGTTGTTCATGCCTGTAATCCCAGTTACTGGGGAAGATGAGGCTGGCAGCAACCGTGGGCTGGGACATTCTGACCTGCAGTGAGCGAAGCCGACCAAGGGTCCATGCTAAGGTCAGCACGACAGTAGCCCCTGTACTTTCAGCCAGGGCAAACTAGGGAAATGTTGTTGTTGTTTAACGATATAGAAGACAATAGTTCAAAATCTTCTAATAATGAGAATATTTTCTAGTTATTAGACAATTTAGCCTCAGCCTCCAGCACAGAGTCCAAGCTGAAGAGGGATGGTGAGGTCCTCCAGGTGCTCCTGTTTGCAGATGATACTGAGCTGATCGCATCATGTCCCAGAATAGTGCAAAGCCTTCTAGAGGAGATTCACAGACACTTAAAAGAATTTGTCCTAGCTATCCTCATGGGAAAACCAAATGGATGAAGAATGCCTATTACCAGACTATAATATCCAATTGGATGGACAACCCATAGAGCTCATCCATTTTGGATGGTATGTATGTGTCAATAGGAGATAGAGAGAGACTGATATAGACATATCTTTCACAGACTCTACAAATGGACGACAAGCTAAG